ATATATATATATATATATATATATATATATATATGATATATATATGTGCTGTGGAGCGCCGGAGCCGGACTGGAGCAGAACCGGACTGGACCAGTGTCGGTTTCAGCCTCAGCCTCTCCGCTCAGTCTTGTTTTTCACCGGGAGTGCCTCTCGTGCTGTCGGGTGCGGAGGTGTCGTGCAGAGAAGTGGAGGAGCAGCGTGAAGGAGCGGGGCTGCGTGATGCTCGAGAGAAGTTCGGAGTTTGTATCGGAGTTGCTGCAGGCCTCCATCCAAACTCACTTGGATAATAATTAATTTTATTCCGGATCACGCTGTTGACCCCTGTTGACCTGAAACGAGCTTGGATCATGCCTTTCACTTCAGGAGGATTTTCTGGCAGCTCACTCTGCTATTTGCTGCAAATTATTTGTTTCTGTTTCGGCCTGTTGATTCTGGACCCAGCTTCTGTTTCCCATGGGAGCATCCATCCATCCATCTTCGCTGGGGGGCAGGAGCCCCCCTCAGCCCAACTCAAACTGCAGTTGGGCCACCTCGTCGGGTTTGTTTGCCCATTTGAACTGTGACGTTTTATGGTCCGAAACTTTTCTGCATCATTCATATTACTGTCACTATTTTCAGTTCTCAGATTATCTGGAGTCACTGAATCTTGTTAGTACACCTGAATCTGCCCATCACTGCAACTTTCGCTGTTTTGGGGTTCTGAATGATCACGTCTTCATTAATGTTTCTTATGATTCTATTATGGGGGCTAATTGTCACACTGTTAACTCCTTTAATTACACATCAGTCACGAAAAACTCAAGATAATGTCTGATAATAATGTTGTTACTACTCTCAGGGATTCAACCCAACCCTGGACCCCCCACTCTTTATATGACACCAAATGACTTTAAAAACGTGTCTGGGCTTCATTTTCTGCATGTAAATGCACGTAGCCTTCTGAGAAAACTTGATGCCTTGAAAATTCTGGTCAGTTCTTCTGGGGCAGATGTAATCTTCATCTCTGAAACCTGGCTCAACAAATCTGTACTCAATAATGACCTGGCAATCAATGGATTTAACATCTACCGCTGTGATCGTCAAAAAAAATGGGGGGGGGGGGGGGTTTCGCTTTTTTATATCAGAGATTCTTTGGTTGCTAGTCCTGTGTCTTCTAAAACAATTCCAAACCAGTTTGAAGCCTTAGCTGTAAACATCACCTTGAATGGTGGCCAGATATTATCTGTAGTCTGCTGTTACCGCCCACCCTCAGCAACACCTGAGGCTCTGTCCTCCCTGATGGAATTTCTTGGTAATTTAAAATTCAAAGAGATCTTTTTGGCAGGAGACTTCAATATTGACTGGGGTAAGTCGACTCCCCTCTGTGATAAATTCAAGGAATGTTGCCTGTCTCTCAATCTTACCCAATTGATCAACTCTCCCACTAGATTAAACAAAAACCGTCCTGAAAAATCCTCCATCTTAGACCTATTTCTAACTAATATGCCTCACAAATTCCCTGGTACAGGTGTATTTGCCAATATCTTGAGTGATCATTGTGTGACAGCGGCTTTGAGAGATATTAAACTTCTACCTTCTAAGCCCAGATTAATTCAAAAAAGGGATCTGAAACATTTTTGTGAACAGTCATTCCTCTGGGATCTGTCCCACTTTGACTGGCATCGTATTCTGTTAACTGATGACGTGAACTTCGCTTGGAACCATTTTCATAATAGTTTAATTTATTTTGTGAACAAGCATGCTCCTTTTCGTCAGTTCAGAATAAAGGGACGAGACAGCCCCTGGTTTACTCCAGAGCTAGCTGACCTCCTGCACAGGAGAGACCATCTTTGGGCCACAGCAAGAAAATCTGACTCAGACACTGATTGGTTGAGTTTTCGATAGATGAGGAATAAATGCACAACTGCTGTCAAAGCAGCAAAACACAACTATTTCTTATCTCAGACCTCCAAAAATCTAAATGACCCTAACAGATTCTGGAAAACCATCAAATCTCTCTCAGGCACCCCACAATCATCTGACCTCCCATCACAACTTCTCGTTAACTCTGTTCCTGTGTCAAATCAGCACAAGATCCTGAACTGTTTCAACAAACATTTTGTTTCTTCTTGTTCTTTATTTGACACAGTGACTAATGGAAAATCAGCCACTTCACTTAATAATCAAATTTTTACAAATCAAATCCCTCCTACAAGTCAATCCTCAGTTAAACACAGCTTCTCTTTTTCTCCATTCTCAGCCAGTGAGTTTAATAAATTGTTTAAAGATCTTGATCCTAAAAAATCTGCAGGTCCAGATGAACTTCCACCTTATTTCTTAAGGCTGGCTGCTCATATTATCATCAATCTCTCCACAAGACAAAACTCCATCCCAGACACTTGGAAAAAAGCCTTTGTTCTTTCTTTGCTGAAGGGAGGTGACCCCACCTCAATGAACAACTATCGGCCAATCTCTAAACTCTGCATTTTAGCCAAGGTTCTAGAAAAACTGATAAACTCTCAAATCAAAAATTACCTGGACTCATTTAACATCTTACCTCCGCATCAATCTGGTTTCAGGAAACAACACAGCACAACCACTGCTTCACTGAAGATTCTTAATGACATCGTTGAAGCACTGAATGCTAAAGATTATTGTGCTGCACTTTTCTTAGACCTGTCTAAAGATTTTGTCACTGTGGATCATAACATCTTGTGTCATAAACTCTCAGAAATCGGTTTCTCAGAACACACCATTGGTTGGTTCTCTAACTATCTCTCAGACCGGAGGCAATGTGTTCAACATAATGGTACTTCCTCCACTTATTTAACAGTCAACAATGGTGTACCACAAGGCTCAGTCTTAGGACCCACTCTCTTTACAATCTACATACATAATGTAGGTAAAAACATCACTGATGCATCCATACATTTCTATGCTGATGACACAGTTGTTTATTGTTGAGCTAAAACAGTTGATAAGGCTTTCCAGCTTTTGAAATCTGCATTCAACTACATCCAGACAGATTTGTTCCGCCTCAAGCTTGTCCTAAATGCCGACAAAACCAAAGGGATGCTTTTTTCAAATAGGAAGTTGGTCCCAGCAGTTCTTCCTCCGATTTTATCCTCAAATGGTGTCCCCATTGAGTTTGTTGATTCCTATAAATATTTGGGTATCTTGGTCGACTCACATCTCTCTTTTAAGCTCCATGTGGAAAACTTGGTAAAGAAACTGAAAGTTAAACTGGGTTTCTTTTTCAGAAACAGATCCTGTCTAATTCTGAATGCTAGGAAACGCCTTGTATCTGACTTTCCTTCCCTCCATTGATTACGGTGACATTATTTACATGAATGCTCCTACAAGAACCCTACAGATGTTGGATGCTGTCTATCATGGTGCACTAAGATTCATAACTGGCTGTGATTATCGTACCCACCACTGCACCCTGTATTCACTGGTTAGCTGGACATCATTAACTTCTTGCAGACCCTCCCACTGGTACATTTTCATTTTTAAATCACTTCTCGGTCTGCTGCCTTCATACATCTCCTCCTACATGTCTCTGCGTGAGTGCAGCTACAGCGTGTGCTCTCAGGACATTATTACCTGCAGTGTTCCCTCAATGAGGACTGAACTAGGCAAAATGGCCTTCTCCTACTCCGCTCCCGTTTCCTGGAATACCTTACAAAAAGATTTGAAGCTCTCGACCTTGACCTCTAAGTAGCTTTAAGAATCTGTTGGACTCCTGGCAGGGACCAATGCAGACATGTTCCTGTTTTTAGTTTTCTACATTTGCCTTATAATCCAGCTGTTTTTTTTTTTTTTTGTTACCTTTTTCTTTTAGCCATCCTATTTGTTAAAAAAAAAAACTGTAGTATGACTTTTTATAACTGTTTATTATTGTCGCTGTTGTCCATTGTTGTCATCATTCTTTGTTGAAATCAGGTCCCTCTTGTAAATGAGTCCTCGAGGCTCAATGGGATTTACCTGTCTAAATAAAGGTTGAATTAATTAATCGCTGGTTGTGGTTGTACATGCGTTTCAGGAATACTAAAGGATTATGGTCAGTATAGACTATAACAGGGCTTGGTGTAGAACCTATATAAACTTCAAAATGCTGCAAAGCAAGAACATGGCAAAAGTTTCCTTTTCAATTGTGGAGTAGTTTAGTTGATGATGCTTGAACTTAGCTGAGAAGTAAGAAACTGGGTGACTGATGCCATCTGCTCCATCCTTCAGCAACACAGCTCCAGCCCCACTGGCGCTTGCATCTACTTCCAGCTTGAAGGTCTTGGTGAAGTCTGGAGCTGCCAATACAGGGGCACTGCAAATAAGAGACTTTGCACAGTCAAATGCATGTTGGCATTCAGTATTCCACATGAATGGCTCCTTTAAACTACACAGATGAGTTAGAGGAGCCACCACCATAGAGAACTTTCTACAGAAGCACCTATAGTAGCCAACCAAACCCAAGAATCGCTGGAGCTCACGTCTTGTGGTGGGCACAGGGTAGCTCAGGACAGCCTCTAATAGGTATTTTCTGTTTAACCTTTAAAGATAATAATTTCACACAACACGGCGAGGTGGGTTTTTAGCGCTCCATACCTTTGCAAAGTGGAAGTCACT